TTCCATCCAGTAATGTGTAAAGCTTCAACGCAGTCCAGAGAATGTTATGACCTGAGCTGCCCAGACCATCATGTAAAAGGAATGCGACGCTACAGAGTTAGCAGAGAAAGGGAAATTGAACAGCATTTTTTTTTAGACAAAAAGAGAAAAGATCAAAACAAACAAAGAGACAAACAGGGGGAATGGTACAGAGAGGACATGTGGGCAGTAAAATGGGGTGTACCAAACCAGGCATCAGCACGTCAAGGCCAAATAAGCAAACAAACGTGAAACCAGTACTGGAGAAACCAGGGGCATGTACACCAGGGGACATACCAGGTAGTACACCACCAGTGGTACTAATGAAACACAAAGTGAGACAAAACATCCCACTTGGTAATTCCTGCTTCATATTTGCAAATATACAGGGTTTGAAATCAAATAAAAATGACAAAGTTAGTTATGTCAGTGGGCTCCTGACAGAAGTGAATGCCATATTCGGAGCATTTACAGAAGCACATACAAGGGATGTTTTGGACGGAGAGATAAAGATAGAAAACTACAACATGTATAGATGTGATAGAATCAATAGGTCACAGGGAGGAGTAGGAATCTATGTAAAGGATACTTTCTGTTGCACAGAAGTGCTGAACTCTACGTATGATGTAGTAGAAATTCTAGGCATTAAAGTTGAAAATAGGAATTTGGTAATTATCCTAGTATACAAACCACCATTGGCAACTGCTGAGGAATTCACAGATCAGTTAAGTAAGATAGATAGCTATCTGGATAGGCTAGAAAATCCTACACCAAATATTTTACTCCTTGGAAATTTTAATCTCCCTCATGTAAAATGGAAGATGGCACAACGTAATGTTATACCATAAGTATCCCCGGGAAGCACCCTGGCTCAACAGGTACATACCAGGGAAATAATGAGGTTTTGTGAAAAGTACTCTTTAAACCAACAGGTAATTGATCCCACTAGAAATGAAAATACCCTGGATTTGATATTCACAAACAACGAGGAACTGATCAAAGACTTAAGTTTCCAAAACTATTTACTCTGATCATAACATCATAGAGGTTCAAACTAGTATTAACTCAGGGGTAGGAAACTGCATCGCTAAAGTTAGAGACGGGATGTTAACTGGGAAAAAATAAACCAAGAGCTATCAGATATACCCTGGGAATTAGACATGAGCACCCTAAATCCCCACCAGTGCCTAGAGAAGCTGAATACAGAAGCATACAAAGTATGTATGAAACTTGTACCATTGAGGAAACCCAGAGGAAGATCAGATAGAGAGAGAGAGAGAGCATAGGAGATGGTACAGAAGAAGAAAACGGGTTACTGAACTGCTTAAAAACACAAATATGCTACACCACAGGAAAGATAGACTTAGCAGAGAGATCACTGCATTAGAGCAAAAACTTAGGATGTCATACCTCACAGAAGAAGTACCAAGGGACCAAAAGGCCATACAAGATATTGCAAGAAACCCAAAATATTTCTATTCCTACGCAAAATCCAAGCTAAGAACTACCTGTAGAATTGGACCACTACTGAGAGGAGACTCGTATACTAAGATGAACAGGAAATGAGTGAAATCCTAAAAGAACAGTATGAGTCGGTGTTCAGCAACCCACTCAATGACAGCAAGGTAGAAAATGCAGAAATATTTTTCACTCCGGAAGAAGGCTGCACAGACCAACTAACTGACATTAGTACAAATCCCATAGATTTCGAAAAAGAAATGGAAAACATGCCCACTCACTCAGCACCTGGACCAGATTCATGGAATGCTCTGTTTATAAAGAAGTGCAAAGTACCACTAGCACGAGCCCTCAGTATTCTTTGGATAAAGAGCTTAGATCTAGGTGAAATACCGGAGGCCTTAAAGAGTGCAGACATAGCTCCTTTGCACAAAGGAGGTAATAGCGCTAGCAAAAATTACAGACCTAGCCCTAACCTCTAAAATAAAAATCTTGAAAGATGAGAGACGGCAGTTACAATTTCAGGGACCACAAAACCAACAAAACCCGAACCGGGAGGGTTTTTTAGACCCAGACGATCAGTCTGTCACAGCTGCTGAACCATTTGTGCAGAATTACGGGGGCACTGAAGACGCCAAAACGCAGAGGGATTTACAAAATTTTTGCAAACTTTTTTAAACAAATGCGATAAAGGAGTGATAGCGCACAAAATGATGGCGGGTAGGCAGATGGATTTTCGGTTTTCCAACACACACTCACAAAAAGAGTATGAACGGGGGCAAATCCACATCAGCGAGGTCAAAGCTCATGCCCCAAGGCACGTCCGGCACCTCTGCTGTTCCTCATCCTCATAGCAACAAGACAAAAGCACCCGGCACATTTTTGTATCATCATTTGCAGAGATGCTAAAATAAGAAGAAAGTCAGTACGTAGAGGACACGAAAAAGTACAGGAAGACAAAAAAAGGTTTTTTCCAGTGGGTGGGGAAAAAAACAGACGTTCATGGTGATAATTCCAGCTGCTTGGGAAAGGAAGAATGAGGCCAAAAGGAGCACTATATCAAAACTCAAGAAGGGGCCCCAAAATAAACAAGGAACAGTAAAAAACCCAGGAATAATTTGTCACGGACCTTTTTTTAAAGACCAAACAAAACAAAGATATGACAGCCAGGGAAATGATGGGTGGGTATTAAACTTTCAAAACAAGGGAAACAATGCCGATGGTGCACTTTAAAATCGCTAGTGTCCTCACTTAGATATTGCCAGGGCTGATGGCCCGTTCGGACAGAGAAATATCGACTGGAACAAAACAGAGATTTTTATGGGTCACATTTAGCCATAAAAACACCTAAACTACTGGGAAGCTGCAAGTCTTGAAACGACTCATTGACAAGGAGAAGAGGAAAAATGATAAATACCGGAAGGCACTCAGGGGTTTGGGGCCCAAACTGAACACTGCCATAACACATACTGGGGTGAGAGATTGGGAAAAGGGAAGTGTAAAAAAACCCAGTGAGGGGAGGGGGGCTGGGGGCAATAAGGGAAACTTTTCAACATCCGGGCCCCAAATTTTTTAAAAACTTACCAGAAGATATCAAAACACTGCTGGAACAATGTTGAAGCCTACAAAAGAAACTAGACAATATCTTCACCCGGTGCCAATCAACCAGCTGTGAAGGGTATGTGGGGCAGGGGGGCCCCACAGTACACCGGTTTTACCCGGCAGCACCAGATGACCTGGCCCGGGCCGGCTCAGAAGGGAATATACCTCGAAATTTTCAAGGGATATCAAAAGGAACCCCTCCTCAGCCCCCTGGATAAAGTTTTTGGGAATCCCCCACTCCCCCTAATTTTCCAACTTACGAATTCTCTGCATTATCACACCCCACTTGCCCCGACAGACACTCCACTGCCCTCCATCTTTCCCCTTGCAAAAATTCGCCACCCATCCTCACACCCATATAAAGACATTATAAACCATACTTCTACACCCCTCTTTGCTTCTAGGACAAAGTTTTTTTGTCTCCACAGACTCCTAAGTGCACCACTCACCTTTTTCCCCTAATCAATTTTATAATTCACCTCATCTTTTATAGACCCATCTGCTGACACATCCACTCTTAAATATCTGAATACATTCTCCTCCTCCATACTTTCTTCCTCCAATCTGATATCCAATGTTTCGTCACGTAATCTTTTGTTATCCTCATCACCTTACTCTTTCCTATATTCACTTTTAATTTTCTTCTTTTGCATACCCTACCAAACTCATCCACCAACCACTGCAACTTCTCTTCAGAGTCTCCCAAAAGTACAGTGTCATCAGCAAAGAGCAACTGTGACAACTCCCATTTTGTGTCAGATTCTTTATTTTTTAACCCCACACCTCCTGCCAGCACCCAAGTATTCACTACTCTTACAACCCCATCTATAAATATATTGAACAACCGTGGTGTCATTACACATCCTTGTCTAAGGCCTACTTTTACTGGGAATTAATCTCCCTCTCTCGTACATACTCTAACCTGAGCCTCACTGTCCTCGTAAAAACTTTTCACTGCTTTCAGTAACCTACCTCCTATTCCATTCATTTGCAACATCTGCCACATTGCTCCCCTATTCACCTTGTCATATGCCTTTTCCAAATCTACAGTAACAAAGAAACAATCCAATTTCATCAACATAAACACCAGCCATGTGCAGGCAACCTGCCCACTTATATTTTTAGACAAAGCATGTGAAATGCCAATGATAGGGTTTCTTGACAGCATTATTACAGTACTAGTGTTAGGAACACAAGCCTAACAGTTGACTTGCACAGGAACAAAGACTGTTTTCAAGAGGAACCTGGGCTGCTTCCTCCAACAAAGTAGTATATCAACTAGGCTGTGATGATTAGGGTTGTGGGTTACTAACAGCAGAAAAGCATTGTTTTGAGTGACTTTGAGACACAATGTAAGTACACCATAAAGTGAGATGGCTTTGACTATTGACTGAGATTGGTACAGGTACATACATTGGCATTAGTATTAGTCCACTTGCAGCAGAGTACCATTTCCCAAGGCTTTCTTTTCCCCACCTCAAGGACTCAAGTCTAGCTAAATGGTTTCTCTGAGTCCCTTCTTAAATGTTATCCTGCTCACACTCCAACAGCACATCCATTAAAACCATTTGGCTTCATTTATTCATGCTCACATAAGCCTGCTAGATGCTGAAGCCCCTAAAACTCAAAGCCTCCTTTACTCCCCTCTCTCCAGTTCTTCCTAGGTAACCTCTACCACTTTCCTTTTACCCCAGATTTACACACCCTCTTTGTCATCCTCGCTCTCTTCTCTTTTCATCCTCTCTACATGCCTATACTACCTCAACAACCCTTCCTCAGCCCTCTGAATTATACCCTTGGTGAGTCCTCTTCACTTTTTAATTTCTGCACTCAGAATTGTCTGCATGATATTCACACCATTTATAAATGTATAAAATATAGATATATCTTACTGTGTTATTGCAAATTCTTCTACTTTCCAGGTCAGGCAGTGGCAGCATTCCAATTACGATATTCTGATATTTTCCCCACCAAGAATTGCTTGATCTTAAAGATTAGAGAAGTAAGACAGAAGGTTCACCAAAACACGCCCAATACCCCAGGTGTGCCCAGCAGTCCTAACCCTGCAGCAGCTGCATCACATGCATCTGCTAATCAATCACAACTCACTCACAACAACCACCACAGTAAGTATGGCCAACTTGGTCACTTAAAATCCCGTATAAGAATTTTTCATTTGGTATTGGCATCGTGTTCCTTTTGGGACTTCTTATTCCTTGAGAATTCAACTTAATGTAGAATCATCCCTGAACTTGTCAGTTGAATTCTAATTTTTAAAGAATATTGGAAAAGCTCTTGAAACTTTTGTCAGATCACCTCCCGATATTTGATATAGAATAGTTTTCATTTGTAATAGTAGGTAAGAATGGCAGTGATGAAGATTGCCTCAGTAACCATATACTAGTGAATTAAGAAGAAAAAATGGTACACACTTTGACTCTACTTGACCAGAAAAAGGGGGTCAATGGTGTTTCTGCTCCCGTTGATGGTTCCAAGGGTTAGTCCTAGACTCAGTCCGGGACCTGGATCTTGGTTGATGGTTTGATCAGTCAGGCTGTATGAACACCTTATGAAATGAAAGCATACAACCGGGTTTGATCAGGACTGTTTAGAGGAGCCGTCAAGTTTCTCGTTTGAAGAATTTAACTCTTAAACGCCCAAAAATTTGTTTACATTAGACTGTGGCACCCCCAAACGTAGTCAACGTTTTATTTTTCCCCCCTCCAGTTTGGCCGTTTGGGCCCTGAATCCTGGTCATATAGAATGGGTTTAACACTCATGTTGTAGTATTAAAAAAATTGGGACTATTAGTACCTTGTGGGAGCCCCAGTTAAATTGAATGCAGTAGAGTAAATAGGGGCAAACACCGGGGATTCCGATGTCTTGTGTACTAAGCTCCCTTTTAAGAGGAAAGAATGTGACCCAGGTGGTGGGGGATGGCTTTGGGGGGATGGCGGTGGTTGGCTGGCTGGGGGTGGCTCTGGCTGGATGGCCCCTTGTCTGCTGTTGGCTCTGTTTATCTTCACAGGTCAATAAGTACGTTTACGTAGTGTAAATTTAAATTACCTAGGATAAAAAAAAAATTCAGGAAAGTGCATACAGTGTTGTATATCGGTTTGGAAACATTGTAGAAGGCTGTTCGAGTGCCGTTACCAAACGAATTTGTTCCCATAAGGAATAATGTAAATTAGATTAGTCAGTTTCAGACCCCCAAAAATACACTTACAAAAGCACCTACAATAATACACTTGCATAATTGTTCGAGTCGGGAGCTCTACAAAACTCGGGGTACAACTGTATAAGGCATAATAAGCATGACTGGCAAGTAATATGCATTTTCACTTGATTAGGAATCAGACGTGACGACTCTGCATTGTGTGTAATACCTGATGGTTTACGAGCTGCTCTCTGAGACAGAGACAAGCAGACGGAAAGACAGACACACACAGGCAGACAAAAAGACAGATACACACAGGCAGACAGAAAGACACACACACAGGCAGACAAAGACAGAAAGACACACACAGGCAGACAAAGACAGATACACACAGGCAGACAGAAAGACAGACACACACACAGGCAGACAGAAAGACATACACACAGGCAGATAGAAGACAGACAGATAGACAGACATGTTTGTTTGTAACAGTGAAAACAAATATAGCCAGGGTTCCCTGGAGCAGTGCACGATCATCAAGTGTCACTCCACTGCTTCACTGTCAGCAGTTTAGTAGCACTCATCTTAACACCATGCTTCAAGGAGTTTCATTTATACTCCAGCATGTCTGAAACATTGCTGAGACCTATAAGTACGTTGCATATATTTCTAGTCGGTAGTAAATGACCAGAGCAGGTGAAAATGTTCACCTGTCAGTGTGTTTGTGACTTTTTGAGTATTATTTCAGTACCTAATATTAGTGTCAGAACAAAGATTGGCTATGAAATCACAAGAACTGCTACAAATTATGATTATCAGAACATAAAAATTATATAAATTAAAATAAAAACAAGAAAAAAGGTATATCAGCGACATTGATAATTCCTCTCACACTGTACAGTGGTACCTTGACTTACGAGTGTCCCAACTTATGAGTATTCTGAGTTACAAGCTGTCGCTTGGTCGATTTTGTGCTTTGAGTTGCGTGACAAAATCCGAGTTATGAGCAAAAAACAAAATATTTACTGAAACAAAAAATATTTACTGAAAATGACATTTGGCAAGAACCCCAGCCTAAATGGCACAACGAAAGGTGGTTTTGGGACTTGATACTTATAAAACAATTCTAGTGCGATGTTCTCACTGGAGGTAATCGTGTAATTAGCTTTAGTTATTCTGCAAAAAAATAAAGTTGCCAAGTTTTTGACATTTGCAAAATATTTTGCCCTTTACTCCCACACAAATTCCAAAATATTTGGAATATTTCCAATATTTTACAAGCCAATTGTACAACAATAATTTTTTTATGATTCCTGTTAATATTATTGCATTTACAGTAAGGCCCCGCTTTATGGAGTTTTGCCTTACGGCATTCCGCTAATACAGCGATGTCAAATTATGACCAAAATTTGCTATACGGCAAGCGGTCTTTTAAATACGGCGCCCCCAACCCAGTTTGTTTACATTTTCCGTGACCACATCTATTATGTCAGGAAACTTTCCAAAATTTCAAGTGTTTTAAAGTTACTGCATATTTTATATGTACTCTGATAATTATACTCACGGCCTGTATAATATCTACAGGCTGTGTGGCAAGGCAGGTACACTGAAATTCCCTAGTCTTCTCTATCATTACAGCCGAGACTACGGGTTTAATAATCCCTTGGGCCCACTAAATGTCTTTTTCAATCAGTATAGGTATTTTCGGGGAATCATCTTGATTATTTCCCAAATTAAGATGAAATCAATAAAATAGCAATAAACAGAAATACACAGAACAGAAAAGTGTGTAATATGAAAGTGTTTACAAAAAGCTGTGTAGGTTCTGTGGAAGAATACGTTTTCCTAGTCAAATCTGGGGTTTAACAGTAAAAAAAACACTATTCGTATCCTTTTCATGCTAAAAATTAAGGAATTCACTACCTTGGCTTTAGCTGCTGTTATATAAATAATATATAATAATTGTATACAACTACTAGCTAGGATTATACCGCTCATGAAGTACTAGTGTCCTGACCAAGTAGTTAACGAACAGCTGTAATGGTGTCTTACACATTAAAGGCCAAGGGCTTGCTACATGACGCCAATACTCGTAATAAACTATCAGGTTTCAGCTAATTCTTATTCACATCAATATAGTAGTTTCACTACCACTATGTTTTCCAAATTATTATGACCATTACATAGATTATACTGATTACTTCTAATATTGTTGTTTAATTGCTTTGTTTCAAACAGTGTGTAGGTTGTGGAAGAATTCTTTTCTCAGTCAAACTGGTAACTGTTAGAAAATTTCTTCGACGTTTATGTAGCATGCAACCCTTGTGGTTTACCTTTTTCCCTAATAAATATAATAATTTAATAGAAAATTAGTAGTTGGTGGCATTTGGGGCTACCCCTGCCTGGAGTGGGTAAAGACCGGTTATTGTATAAAAATGGTATTTTGATGTAGTCTTTTTTTCTTTCATAATATGCAAGTTCAGTTAGTTTGTTACTGTTACATCATAGGTCACACTCATAATGGTGTTGCTAGTATTTGTTTATTGAACTAACTTGGGTACTTTATTTTTTCAATTGTGGTTATTTCCTTATTCTGGGAATGGAACAGATTTTCTAGTAAAACATGATTGTTAAGTAGGGTACTTAAAACCTGGAAAGGGCTATAACTCTGTATAAATTATAATATTAATAAGATGTATTTTCTTTTCAATGTGATCTCCCTGCCTGTGGTATGTGTTTGTTAAAAAAAAAATTTTTCAACTTTATATCAATATTATCTATTTATTTTTATTATTATTATTATTATATTATTTTCATTCACTCTAAAAATGGTGTGTTGCTGTTTGTTATTTGAACTAACTTGTACAACTTTGTACAATGTAAGAGTTTGTATTGTGATGTAATTATTATTAAATAAAAAATATGAGGTAAATGTTTTACAAACTCTTACAAATGGACGTGAATGAACTAAAAGTAGACACATATTAATACGCATTTATTTTGCCTGACCAAAGTGATCGTCCACTACCTGTTCAGTTTGTGTTTTTACATTGTCTCAACTCTGTATCTCGTTCTCTCTCTCGTTTACTCTTTCATTAACTAGTTGGCTCTCATTGATGATGGCGTCTAAGGTTAGCTGTAATAAAAAGAGAAGTCGTAAGCCTCTTGCTTTAAGTGTCAAGTTAGAGGATGATGGTGTGCCATTCTGATTTTATTCAATAAACACCCTGCCACTCACCTCTCACACATTAATATTAATATTTTAAGGTAAGTAATAAGTGTACTCTGTGTGTATCTTACCTTTTATTGTGTTTTTAATGCCTATTTCTATTGCTAACTGTTGTGATAGAAACACAGGCCTTATCTCTTAGGCTTTATTGAACATAGAATCTTCATAGTACTTCTGCAACAACAAAATATAATGACTAGTACATCTAATAACGACTTCTACAGGGATGGTGATGTCTTGCATATGTCAAGAGAAAAGTTATAACTACAGGCCACATATTTAAACTCACCATGTAATCTGCATCACTAATATATGGATAGAAGAGAAGAGAATCACACACCATGTGTTGGCGCCCATGACACACACCAAACTGTTGTTGTTGTTAAGGGCCCGAGAGGTGGTGCAGTATTATCCTTGCTATGCTCCCCACAGGAGCGTATCCTACAATCCCCTTCTAAAATATCAGAGACGTAATTCCAAACTGTTAGGTGGGGCGACGTACAGTCCCGACCTTCTTTAGCCTTGAGCCTCTTCACCGAGTTCAATATTTTCCCAGCGGGTTTTGACTAATGCTGGAGCAGAATCCTCTATTTCCGTAGGGGTAGTCTCAAGGGGTTTTCCCAGGAGAAAACGACTCTCTTCACATCTGTTGGTGTATCTTGGAGATTCCACACTAATGGGGGATTTCAACTGGGGCAAATGTCTTGTAGATACTGTAGTCTCTTCACCATTTGGAGCGA